GTATTTGTATGTAATCTCACTGCATAACAAGGAATGATGGGGTTGTGGATCCTATCAGGGTTTTAACTTGTATGTGTATTATCACCTTTTTTTATAATTTGAGCTACATATGGATAAATAAACTACATGGTTTTTTTTTAGGGCTGGGGAAATTAACGATTAATTCCTCAATTTATCGTTAAACTTTTTGATCGATTTTAAAATTCTTTTGATCGAAAATGAAAAGACTCACCTCTCCGCCGACTTCCGGGAGTCCCGTCGGAGATCCGGTGACGTCACGGACATCGACGTCACCGGACTCCTCCCCTCTTCCCTTCGTTAGCCGGCGGAGCCACTTGGGCCGGTAAGTTTGCCCAAGAAGCACCAAGCTTCTGTCTTATCTTAAACTTATATATATGCACTATGTGGCTCTCCATTAACACACCCCCCCCATCTCGCTCCCAGAAATGTGCCCATTGAAATTTACTGATATTATGTTGCAATCAGGTCCTTAAATGAAATGGAATGGACAGGTGCTGCTACTTCAAATATTAAGCTAATACTTATGTTTAAATCACCCTTAGGGCTTTGCTGTTTTACTATACTATGTAAATATATTTGTAATGCAGCACGTTATTCTGAGTTGCCCCACTCAAGCGGCGGCCATATTCAGTGGGGCACGTGAAATTAATAACGTGCTGGATTAGTGTGATCCTAGTTCATTTTATTACTTCATTGCTGTGCTGTATCTGTATAGGCCAATGTAGTTGGATCTGTATGTGCGTTATAATTAATCGATAAAAAAATGTTTTGATTAATCGAACACGAAAATTGTAATTATTACCAGCCCTAGTTTTTTTTTAATGAAATCATGCAATTGTGTGCGCCTCTTTAAACCCCATGTTCTATTTTTTTGTATTTATTTCTAGGAAGAGGAGACCCAACCAGTGATTACAAGAAAAAAAGTTATAGACTACTACAACAAAGACAAAAGGACAAAGCCATTGATCGGGCTATGTATTTTCGCCTTTACCCTGGCGACACTCATCCGTGTATATATGGACTTCCTAAGATACACAAGGATCAGACCCCTATCAGGCCAATTGTCAGCAGCATCAACTCTTCTATGCTGTGCCATACGCTGCTGTAACTGCTGTTTTTTTTCACCAACATGCATTTCTGAGCACTCCACACTGCACTGTACTGCGTACACAATGTTGTTCATCTTGTGTTTAGGCGTTGGGTCTTTTGGGTGAACAAGTAGTTGCCTCAGTGTGTTGCTGGGTTTAAAGCAGACAGGGATGTGATGTTTATTAAAAATCCTTCCGAATTCCTCAGACATACCACCTACAAATGGGATGACCGTATTCTATTGTTTGTCATGCTTTTCACCCTCACTGATAGTCATGGTGTTCTTCTCTCTCCTTCTTTCTGTTTTGACAAAGGCCCAGTCTGGATACCCACAAGTTTTAAGGGCCCCTCTGAGGTGTTTGAATTCCTTCGCCTTGGCCTCTGTGCTGGTGGGGATTTTCTCTGCCCAGTGCTGTAGAGTACTGATGACTCCCAGTTTGTGATCTAGAGGATGGTGGGAGTCAAATAGCAGGTACTTATCTTTGTACTTGAAATAAGTGGTACTCAGGCAAAGGTCCAATAAGGCACACACTTGATCTGGGTTAAGTTATTTTCTGCTGCCTAGGGGGTTGTCTAGTAGCAACCATTTTCTCACTGTTTCAATTGCCTCTATGGTGGGTATGCCTTTTGAAGAGGGCTGTAACATATCATTATTAGTTTCCTCTGTGCCTAATATAAATGTTTGGATTTTGGTAGCAAAATCCTGGGAGTTCTGTATGTGATGCTATGTGTTTCCGACCAAGGGAGCTAGAACTCTTGTCTGAATATTTTGCCACGTTGTAGGTCAGAGTTGATGCTGCTGACAATTAGCCCTAGAGGGGTCCCATCCTTGTGTAGTCCATATATGCACGGAGGAGCTTCGCCAGGGTAGAGGCGATGATACATAGCCCAATCAATGGCGTTGTCCTTTTGTAGCTGTTGTAGTAGGCCTATAACTGACTTCTGGTAAGCACTGGTTGGGTCTCTTGCTAGGGCTTCAAGCATGTTGTTGTTCTTAAAAGAGCGGTCACCTTAGCATCGTAGTAAGATACGCAGCAGCATACGCAGTCCAGTGCAGTGAGGAGTGCTCAGAATTGTATGTTGGTGAAACAAAACAACAGTTACATCAGCGAATGGCCCAGCATAGAAGAGCCAAACCCCCTGGTCAGGATTCAGCAGTGTACCTATATCTAAAGGAAAAAGGTCACACCTTTTGACGACAGTCAAGTATGCATCCTAAACAGGGAGGATGACTGGTTTAAAGGAGAACTATGAGGTGAGTGCTTTTCACTCACCTCATAGTTCTAGCCGACCTGTGACAATGAGACTGTCACAGGTCGGCTCAGTAGATCGGGAGGTGAGCGAACACATACCGGGTTCGCTCGCCTCTCGATCCTGTCACGGCTCTCTGCTGTGACAGGGGGAGGGGCTGGATTCCCCTCTCCCCGCTCCGATCTGCCAGCGCTGACTGGCGGAACGGACGGGGGAGGGGGCGGGTACAGCTAGATAGGCAGAGCCAGCTGTCACTCACGCAGCTGAGCGGATCCCGTCATCTAAGTCAGGATCCGCTCCGGCGTCTCAGTATACCGCGAGCTGTAGCTCGCCGTATACTGAGCTTAGGGTAACGGGAGGACGCTAGTTTGTGTCCTCCCGTTACCCTAAGGAGAACTATGGGGAAGAACACTGACCCCATAGTTCTCCTTAAAAAGAGATGTAAAAGAGGCCATTTATGTAGAAATGTGGGGGTGAGACATCTATTGTCTGACAAATACAATGCTGTTTTAACACCTCTCTCTGGGCCGGTTAATAACACCTGCTAGCTCCAATCATGCAAATGCAATCAACGGCTTACCTTTATGAGTTATCTGACCCCTTGCTGTTTATGATAAACAGATCATTTTGATTGACCTTATTTATTTCTAGAGAATTTTTGTCACTCTGAATTCGGAAAGCTAGTCGGATCACCAGCGAAACGTCTTCAAGAAAAATACAGCAAGTCCAGTTGCCTTAATTTATTTTTTACAGTATACCATGACCTGGGTGAATGAGAACCTTCACAAACATGTTTACTGAACAGCCTCTCAACTTATTCATGAGCTCTTAATGTGGATTACCTCATGGTGTTACAAGATGAAAATGAGTTTTCAAAATGTTAATCTTTCTTTGAAACCTTCCATTTAGCATCTTGCATTTTTTTTCTTTGTCATCCGTTGAGACACACAGGAAGTCTTAAGCCTCCTATAATACTGCCACCTACAGGAGGATTGGAGACTGGGGAACAAATACTTTTTTTAAAAGTCTCTGGGTATAACTCCTCCCATTACCAGCATTCCTTAGTGTTTTGCTAGGGTACTAGGAGGGTGGACGTCATGGTTTTTTTTAGCACTGCTGTTTTGAATGGTTACCTGTAATTTCTTCTAGCAACATTTTTTCTTCTTTAGACACCTGGTGACAGTTCTAGCCACTAACTCTTCGCTACCAATAGTAGATGCTGCAAGCATGCTACCATGCCTTCTCCAGCAGGTTCAGTATCTTATTTACCTATGGCATTAGCACTTTCTGAGCCATCTGCAACAGAGACTGATTCAAAGTGCTCAAATCTCTGACTGATGAGCACAGCTCACTGCTATTTCTCCCAAATTAAAGGAGATAATTTTTAGCTCATATTCATGTGGTGCACACTACTCTGAAGCTAGAGGTTCAACCTATTGCCTCTTCCAGTACAATTTCTGGTCTTGGGTTTTATAGGGCCTCTAATGCTGCAAACACCTTCCTCTTGCACCTGCTTTTCCAGTTATTTTGCATTAGTCCTTTGGCAAGGCATATGCACAGGGGCCCTTGCGCTAAAGTGCTGAACTGTGGAACTTTCTTGCCAGAAACATTTAATCCTGATGGCCTATGAGAAATGTCTCTTTAGACCAACTCCACCAAAAAGCCCTCCTCTGCATAAAGGTGTGCTCCCCCCTTAATGATGCCTGGCTGCAAGCGGTGGTGTCCCAGGGTTACAAACTCGTCGTGTTCTCTTTCTCAGTTTCTTACCTCAAAGCTCCCTACATCACCTCAGCAACTTGCCAATCTGCATCGATACTCCCCAGACTTCTTGACCAAGAGGTCATAGCTCCAGTCCCTCCTGTTCATTGTACAAAAAAACAAAATCATGGAACTTCAGGTGATTTGGATGTCTCTTCAGCATTGAACCCTCCTATTTAATGGCCCTCTAATTTGGATCCAGTCAGACAGCGCCACAGTGGTGACATACATCATCATGCTCCCAATATTCAGGCTTATGATCTTCAGGGTCAGATTTCCCCCTTTCCAGTGAAGACTTACTCCACTAGGACAGTGAGCTCCTCTTGGGCTTTTTGGTATTTGGCCTCTGTTTTTCGTATTTGCAAGGCGGCCACCTGGTCTTCTGTTCACACATTCTCTAAGATATACCAGGTGAACGTTGCTTACTTATCTGATGCCAGCTTTGTGTATAAGGGCCTTCAGGCGGCTGTTGGAAGTCCCGCATTTTTATTTTTTACTTTTTTACATAAGTTGCTGTTGGCTGTGTTGCCCACCCCTCTGCTTTTGGACATCCTGAAGGTTTAGGAGTTCCTGTGTCGCACAATGGACAAGAAAGAAAATTGGATTTTTGTACTCGCTGTCAAATCTTTTTTTGGGAGTTAATCGAGGGACACAGGTCCCACCCTCCGGGTTTATGCACTTGCCAGTGTCTACTCCTCCTCTAGGCTGTAGTATAACTGAAGGTTTAAGACTTCCCATGTTCCTACATGGATTGCAAGGAAAGGATTTTATGGCGAGTACAAAAATTCAGGTTTTTTTTTTCCTAACTTGGAATGAAGTTTGTATGTTTCTGATTGATAGGTATGTATAGACGGTTAACATATTTCTTTTTCTTCCCACAGGCATTAGTAATAGGAGGCCTTGGTTCAATAGTACGAGTTCTGACCTCACGAAAAACTGTGTAAAAGACTGTATTAGCTAAATTCAGAATGACCTGTTCCGGTGTCCAGCAGAGTGAAGGAAGAGTGGATGCAGAGGCCAATCTGTCTGCAGAGTGCTATATATTAAAACTGTTTTGGAAAATTTAATTGGGAATGCTTCTTATTACTGATTGTGGACAAGATATGAATGTATGTTTGTTTAATGGGGTATATTTTGTTCCAGGCACCAGTCCTCTTCAGCAAAGTGATGCTATATTGACTATCTA